CTTTTTTTTTTTTTTTTTTTTTTTTTTGGTGGGTACCCGTATTGAACTCAGGACCTTACACTTGCAAGGCAGGCAGGGGCAACACTGAGCTAAATCCCCAGCCCTGTACTTGTACTTGTAATATTATTGGTTGGTCATGATTTTGTCCCACCTCACGCTCACCTTGTAAATGCCCACTGATTCTTATAGTTTTGTTCCACTTTGTACCGGCCTCACCTTATGGCTTTGCTGTATAAAAGACCTTCGAAAAGCAAGGTGGGCGTGCAACACACTTTCTGGTCCCCGTCTGTCTCTCTTGGACAGAAGCTATCCTTCTCTCAATAAATTTTCCTACTCTTGACTTTAGTTGTTCCTGTAATTCATTCTTTGATTTCAGAGAACACGAACTCGCTTTTTGGATATCTAGTAGAGTGGGACTTACATCTCTTCCCCCTGTACACCCGCAGGCCGCGTACCTCCGGATTCGAGGAGGAAACACCCTCTCGAGCACCCAGGCATTGCCAGTCTTGAACTCACTCTGCTCTTGCGGGGAACTCCGGTGCCTCTGTGTCTTCTGGCGTTTTGGGGATCTCGGGCATCCTTTCTGGGGCACAGGAGAAGCCAGATCGGGGTCCTGTGTCGTCCCTCTGGAACACCTGTTCCCTGGACACTGCGAAGCCTGCTCGACCTCTCGCCAGGTTTTCAGCAGGGAGGTGTGGCTGCAGGGGCGCTTCGGTCTGCCCTCTCCAGGACTCAGAATCACAGGCCCAGCAATGCCTCCTGATTCCCGGGATCCCATAGCCCCTCATTCTTGCTTCATGCGGGTCTGGGACCCCACTGGACCTGTCCTTCTTCAGGTCTCACACCTTCAGGCCTACACCTCTCCAGTATTCTCCTCGAAGACCATGCTACCCCCGGAGAATGCCGGGACTGAAATGGCGCATGTGCGGAGTAGCAAAACTACAACTCCCACAATTCCCAGGACCACGGGCTGGTTCCCCCTCACCCCCCCGCCCCACCCCAGTGCCAGGACCCGGGGCTGGCACAGAGCCCGGACAAACAGGGCTGTAGGAATCCTGCTCCACTGCTGGTAGAGTGCAGACTGGTGCAACCACTGTGGAAATCAGTATGGAGATTCCTCAAAGAACTAGGATTGGAAGTCTCCTTTGACCCAGCTATTCCCCTGCTGGGTGTCGTCCCAAAAGAATTAAAAGTCATACCACAGCGATATATGTGTACCTATGTTCATAGCAGCACAATTTGTATCAGCTAAAACTTGTAAACAGCCCAACTGCCCACCAAGTGGAGAATAGATGTGGTTTTTTAAACAAATAAAATGGAGTACTACTCAGCCATAAAGAATGGTAATCTAGAGAGGTTTACAGCTAAATGGATGCACACTGAGGACGTACTCTTAAGAGAAATAAATAGAACACACATGTAAATACAAAAGTTTCTTTAGTGTGACAAACTGAAAGTGTAAATAAGGACTAAAAGGTATAATAGATTATGTGGAATAGCAAATGCTTTTATTTGAAGCCTGTACAGTAAGAAGCAAGAGCTGTCCTTCCCAATCCAAATCAGAACGGGACAATAGGACAAAGCCCACTCGCAGGACAGATCCAGTACGAAAACGTTCTCTGGCTCCTCGAATCCGGGCAAACTACTGATAAGCAGTTGATCTTATACGAACTAGTGGCACACAAAAGGTTCATATCCTAAACACCCACAACGCGTTTCCCCCCATGACAGCATCGTGAGAGCTACTGAAGCCGTCCGCCATACGGTCAGAAGCAGCGGCGTCCCCCTACTCGACCTGCAGCGGAAAGGCAGCTCTTCCATCAGCCCTGGGGCCACCGGATGTCAGAGGCCCGCAGTGGCCTTGCCCTTGTTCCTGTGAGTTCGAGTCTGGGTGGTGAGGGTCAGGAGCTCCTCCAGTCTCCAGCGACTCCGTGGGCAGCCTGGGGGCCCGGAGCTGGCTGCTTTCTCCGCCGGAACCAGGTCCGCAGCCTTCTCCTGACCTGGACGCGGTGGCGATGGCTGCAACGGCGGCAGCTTAGAGCAGGCAGCCTCAGTCGGCTCCGTGGCTGAGGCTTCTCCGCAGCCGCCACAGCCCGGGGCCTCTGTCCCGGGCTGGCAGCTCCTCCCGTCCTCGTGGAGCCTGCTCCACGCCTAACTTGTGCTTCCTGGTCGCTCTCCAGGGTGACCTTCGCCCACGCAGCGGGGACACCGCAGGCGGAACGGGGCGGGGGGCCTGACTCAGCCAGGGAGACCTGGTCACTCAGTCACTCACCTTCCTGGCCAGGACCCTCCAGCCCTGGGAGATGGGTGCCGCGCAGGCGTCGCACCGCAAGGGGAAGGCACGTTGGCCCGCACTGTGTGGGCGAAGGTGACCCTGGAGAGAGACCAGGAAGCACAAGTTAGGCGTGGAGCAGGCTGATTGAGGTGGCTTTATTTATTTATTTATTTATTTGGTACCGGGGATGGAACTTGGATCCTTGTGCTTGTGAGGCAGGTGGCAGAACCACTAAGCTAAATCCCCAGCCCAGAGGTGGCATTTTTGACCTCTAGTTTTCAAGGCTATTTATTTTCTGCCTATGTCTTACTTCCCGGGAAACATGGTATCAGAAAGAGGATAGAGACAATGGTGGTCATTAAGGGTTGCAGGGTTGCAGGGTATACTTCTGTTCTACTTTACCTGGCCACACTTGCTCTTCAGACCACTGCTTTTCCCAGCACTTTTTTTTCTTGAGCACTTCATTTGTCCTCTTTTTCTTCTTCTTTGGCTCTAAATGAACATTAAACTTTCACATCCATCAATTTTTCCATCCAGTTCCTTGAATGGAATAGTAAGAGCCTTCTGATACCAATAACTGGGGTCTCTTCCTGCGGACAAGAATCCTGTTGGACAGGGTCCCCACCTGTACAACTTCCCTTGACCTTAATTGCTTTTCCTATAGCCCTTCTTCCACAATGGGGCAATGGCCTTACTATATGAATGGACTGGGCAGAAAATGCAGTGCATAAACTGAACTGTTAAACATTTATCCAAGGGCCAGGGATTTGGCCCAGTGGTTCTGCAGCCTGCCTCACAAGCACAAGGGCCCAAGTTTGATCCCTGGTACCAAAACAAAAACAAAAACAAAAAAACCCCACAACATTTATCCAAGTAAAATACCAAGTTATATTACAGAACTCTGTATACGATGATTATAGAAGCCATGTTCATAATCCACAAACTGGAAACAGCTTCAGTGAGTGTGTCCAGACTGAATGCAAACAATGACCAATTAAGGTGTGTCCCTAATGAGGACTTCTGGGGAATCGAGCCCAGGGGCCGTCGACCATGGTACTGTCCTCATGGAAATCTTGTTCTCCAGGGATGGAAGACCTATTTGCTCCAAGACATCCAAACCTGACCTGGCAAAGCCACGGATCTCACAGTTGGCGTTCCCCCCACTGAAAACTGGCCCCATGTTCTCAGCCCCGGCTGTGAATGTCCCTTCATCCAGGGCCCAGCAGGAGCCTGCGGGGATGGGGATTTCCTGAATTCGCCTGACAGCAATGGACAGCAGCCAGGTAAGAGGGCTGGGAAAGCAGGGGAGGCCACAGTTTCCCCTGAGCATGCAGATTCATGTGTACACAAACACAGAATCTGGCATTTGCAAAACCAGATCCACTAAATCCCACTGCATCTAGCCAAGTTCAAAGGATGAAACATTTGTGTTCTCACATGTAAGATTCTTCTTCTTTCAGCCTGTGCTGTCCAGTGCAGAATGGTGTGCACATTTCCAAGACTGAAACAGAAAAGCAGACAGCTGGGAAAAGGAAGGAGACAAGGAGGCTCAGACAAGGAGAGGCAATCGCCGGTGATTAAGAAAGCTTGACCATAAGAGTAGAGCCCAGAACCTGTACTTCCAACCCCCCAAATATGGACTGCTCGTTAGACAGCGAGACGCTCCCGGTCTGGTCCACGCTGCCTGGGCGCCCATTGTTTCCACTGTGCTCTGTGATCTCAGAACAAAGGGTCTCGCACTGGGGAACTTGGACGCCATTCCCAGCTCCACAGAGGGACAGTGGCTGGGACTGGACTCCAGAGACAAAGCAGCTTGTTAGGGTTCAGGGGCTGCAAGTACTCAGTGATGGAGATGTGAGAGGTGGCTCAGGCAGTCACACACTGGCACAGCTCACAGACAGCGATGCAGAAAAGCAGACATCGATGTGTGTAGTCACAGCAACTCAGGTCGTGGTCAAAGGCAGCTGTAGAAGCGTCTCTCTATACGAGGAAGCAGCAAGGAAAACACAGTTAAAATCCAAGATGTAGGGGGCGTTTATGCACCGGAGCCAGAGGATCCAGGGCCTGACTACCAGGATGTAGCAGGTTCCACAGAAGGTAATCTAGCTGGGGGGTGCACTGTGACTTGGTAACGTGACTTCCTCAACTGACCGTGACACTGGACATGAGGTGCAGAGTCATGTGCAGTAGGTGTGCTCTGCATTGGGCCTTCGTGGCCGTCTTGTGACCTCTTTCTCTCTGCTCCCACTATGATACTCTAGCTGGACTGAAGGCCAGATCGCTAACACCTAGTGCTCAGACACTCTTCTCTCTCTGATGGCGGCCCTCCTTTGCTCCCTCATTTCTATGCTCCAAGTTTTACATGCTAATCCAGAGCAGCTTCCAGCTTTTTCTAATACTTAGGATTAGCATTTGGTTCTCAGAATCAGTCCAGCTACAAGTTTCACATTTCAGTACTTTGCCCTTCATTTCACTAATTTAACCCACTGCTCCAGGGATGTGTACACTGAATAATTACAGATCAGCTCCTGCATCTTCCTATCCCCCTTTCCTTAGGCCTTTGCTTGCACAAGAAACGCAGCTCCTTTCTTCTCGTGAGCTCTCCCAGGGGGCAGATTCAGAATGTTTTGCTGACCCCCCGTCTGAGGTGATCGTGGCCCTGGGATCATCTTTTGGATGCACCAAGGAATTTCTTCTTAGTTGATAGAAACTGTTCCTCTTGGAACAAGAAGAATGTAGCCACACAAGGGTCATCCTCTGTTCTGATCGGCAGCAAGGAACAGGAACTCTGCACCAGCAGTCTCAGCCCAGGCTCAGGCCCACAGACCAAAGTGCTGAGGTGCAGTCCCACACTGTCCTACTGGTGGCTGACATGCTGAGGACAACACAAGGCGACACTATCAAAGCCCACGATTTTCCAAGCTTGAGAAAATAGAAGGTCACAGATAAAATGTCTAGGGTTAGTGTATGGCCCTTATTACAGAATATTCCTTTCAGTAAGTTGTTCAGTCCATGGCAGCTAAACAAAACAGAATGTTCAGAAAAGCATCTCAGCTGGCTTAGAACTCTAAGTGGAATCGGCCTTCTGAATTTGGGTAAATCTCCTAATTAGACCATCCTAGGTAGCTTTTCCTACAGAATAAATTGTTAGACTAAGTTAAATATTGTGGAAGAAAGTATTACATATAGTACTCAGTAACATAGACAGTTGACAAAACTGTACCCATTAGTAATTAAGCCGTGTTTATCATCCGTGGTTTTTCAGTAATAGTCAATAAGTTAATTCAGCTTTAGTTAAATCTCAATAAATGAATAACCTGTCCCCAATTACGTAATGATTTCTTTCCAAACAAATGTTAGCCTATGATCTTGCCACATGAAGACACTTTCTTCCCCACAGACATGGACGGGGACAACCACACTACAGTCACAGAATTCCTCCTCCTGGGACTCTCTGGGCAGCAGGACCAGGAAGATGCCCTCTGCGGGCTGTTCCTGTGCCTGTACCTGGTCACCATCCTCGGGAACCTTCTCATCGTCCTGGCCATCAGCTGTGACCCTCACCTCCACACGCCCATGTACTTCTTCTTGGCCAACCTCTCCAGTGTGGACATCTGCTTCTCATCAGTCACAGTCCCCAAGATGCTGGTGAATCACGTGCTGGGGAGCAAGTCCATCTCTTACCCACAGTGCATGACCCAGATCTACTTCTTCATCACATTTGGCAACATGGACGGGTTCCTTCTGAGTGTGATGGCCTATGACCGCTACGTGGCCATCTGTCGCCCACTGCACTACACTGTGATCATGAGGCCTAGACTCTGTGTCCTGCTGGTGGCCGTCTCCTGGGTCATTACCAACCTGCATTCCCTCCTCTACACTCTGCTCATGGTCAGACTCAACTTCTGTTCCAACAACACTGTGCACCACTTCTTCTGTGACCCCTACCCTCTCCTGAAGATCTCTTGTTCTGACACCTTCATCAACGACCTCATGGTTTTCACTGAGGGTAGCGTGATATTTCTGACACCATTTATGTGCATTGTTGTTTCATACGCCTACATCTTCTCTAAAGTGCTGAAGTTGCCCTCAGCCCAGGGGATAAGGAAAGCCCTGTCCACATGTGGGTCCCACCTCACTGTGGTCTCCCTCTTCTATGGGACAATTCTGGGGGTCTATATGCACCCCTCATCATCCTACTCAGTGCAGGACACGGTGGCCTCTGTCATCTTCACAGTGGTGACACCACTGGTCAATCCTTTCATCTACAGCCTGAGGAATCGGGACATGAAAGCAGCCCTCAGGAAGCTCATTCTCAGATCCCTGAATTAGAAAATGTTAGAGCCATGAGAACTACAGGACATCATGCATTTCTTCATTTTTACAAAGAAAGTGGGAAACCTATAGGTCCCAAACTCACCCATGACTTCCTGTAATTAGTGACATGTGAACGTGATCATTCTTTTAATTTGGAGGCTGGCAGGTCCTCCTAGTCAAAAAACATTTGTTTGCTATGAAAATTGCAGAGTTTGCTCTACTCGTTTTACTGTTAAGAGCATCTGAAGATCAGAGGTGTTTGGATATTCATTTTTGGTGCGCTCTAATCATCCACTAGGACTCCAGCCTTGGTCACTTCCAGACTTGAGTGCTGAGCCTCGCTAGCATCGCTTGCTCTTTGCAGCCTCAGATGAGCAATGTTACAGCTGCCCTGTAACTGACAAGCAGAGAAGCGAGCCCGCCTTGGGGAGAACCACCGGGTACCACCGACTACAAAACACTCTCAACTCTCCACCTCGGGGTTGCTGGAGGCGGCAGTGTCAGTTTCCCTGCTCCTCCCAGGCTAGTAAAGACTCATCGCCTCCCACGGAACACGGAGCTTTTCGGTGTTTTGTTACTCAGCATGGTTGTCGGTCAGAGATGGTGCCAGAATTTTCAAATAGTAGCTCTTCTTGTCTGCGGACTCCTAGCCCCGCTTCGGGTTTAGCTGACCCGGAGAAAACAGGTATTTCCTTAAAGTGGCAAGTTAAGGTAGCAGCTCAGAGACACCAAGACAGGCGCTAATGGCAGCACTGGAATTGGAATTCAGGATTGCTGATTCCGAGTCCAGTTTGTCGGGCTCTAGGAGTGCAGCCCTCCTCTGGTCTAGAAGATCAGCTCCCTCTTTCTCCTGCTGGTGTCCGGAGCATGCGCACCTGAAAGCCCAGTGCTCAGGCTTCAGCAGCGCCCCCTGCTGGCCTCCCTGCCCGTCCCCTCTCACCTCTCTCCGGCTCCTCCACTTCCGTGGCCAATCAGGCCTCTCTGGCACCTCCTGCCTGCCTCGATCCGCCCACTCTCTACTCCTGCCTTGTTCTCCGCAGCAGCCCTGAGCTCGCTTTAAACCTCTTGGTGTCCACAGCACCCAGGCAACCGGTGCTAATAGGAAATGTGGAAGCGGCCAGGTGAACCCAAACAGGCGTCCTTTTGGGTAGAGAGTCTGACCTGACTCAGTCTCAAGCTGTCCTTATAGTTTCCTTTCTCAGTAACTCAGATACTTCTCTCTTCCATCACATTTTTCTCTGAATCATCTTTACTCATTCTCAGCTGATTCAATGAGTTTTTATTTTTTAGGCCAGTGTTGTTCTTTTTGTGTATTTTATTTTATTTTTTGAGACCGAGACTTGCAGTGCAATATGAAATAAGTACAAATGAATGAGTCACAGGCCCCAAGCGCTGGTGAGTCCGTGGTGGGAAGCAAATCCATCTCTTACATGTAGCGCATGACCCAGATCTACTGCTTCGTCACAAGGGGTGGTGAAGGCTTAAGTTCTAAAAAATCTATTATAGTAAAAGGCCTGTTGCCATAATCCCTCCTCAGAGTAATCCACCTTGCTTTGAACACACTTATCCATCATTCTTGCCGCTTTCTGAAGCAGTTCTAGAAGTTCTCTTTATAAAGTGTGATTTAAAAATACAGTGAATGCTGCGAGCGTGTAAAAACACTGTGGCGAGTCCTTGTCCGTCTTATTCAGTAGATCTAGCACCGTGTAACTTTTCGCTCTTCCCCAAAGTCAAAAGTGACTGTGAAAGGTCGCTTTGAATTGACTCAGGACATGAAGGCAGCTACAGTGGTACAACTAATCGCACTAATGATTATTAAATAGCCGTATTAAAAACATTAAATATATCCTTATCTCACACCACATACAAAATTAAATTCACAACAGATCATAGTCACACATGGAAACTTAAAATTACAAAGTTCACGGAGAAAACATGGGGGTGAAAAAGTTTTTTGAGATACCGGGAATTGAACTCAGGACTTTGCGCTTGCAAGGCAGGCATGGTGCCATTGAGCTAAATCTCTGGCCCAGGAGTAAATTTTTATCATCTTGGGCTAGATAGGATTTTGTTAGATGAATTTTATACTACAGCCATGATGAGTAACTCATAATCAAAATACATAAAGAGCTCTCAGAATTTGAAAATTAAGAATAAAAGCTTTATGGTTGGGTAAAAGAGTTAGACACCACAAAAAAGATACGTGAATGGAAAATAAGCACAAGAGAAGAAGCCTAACTTCAATGGTTTTCAGAAAAGCAAATTAAAATAACAAAGAAATAACACTATAAATGACTTTGCACGGCTTTTTATTTTTATTTTTTGTAGCAAAATGCAAAGTTTTTACTTACGTTAATTTAAAAATACTGCAGTGTCATAGACTAATAAAACCCCCAAAACTTCAGCAACTCTTTTAATATTCATGCATTTTATAAAAACATCAAAGTGCCAGGGATATAAATAACCATTTATAAACTTACTTTCTTGAAAAAGATGCACTTACACACTTATTTTGCATGAAATTGAAAGATGGTGGTCTAGAAGTCACAAGAATTTCTGGATAAGGATGAGGGCCCATCTGTTTGTTATCTTTCAATGCTTTTACTATAATTTTGGCAAGCTCTTCTCCTTGAATGTCAGTGGTGCCCAGTGATTGGCCTGACTTTTGGGACCCTTTTGGGTTTGGTACCAATAAGTTCACAGTCCCTGGACAGAGGCGTCCAGCGATTGGGGAAGGCAGCTTCAGTCATTTGGCTCACAGCGTCTTCCTCTTGCCCTGGGTCCATTGCTGGGCTACACCAGGCTGCAGGTGCTCTGAGTTTCCCTCGGCCAAGAGAGGATTCATTACGGCTAAAGAGCAGGGGGCAGTGCTGTGGCCACACAATGCCACCCTCTGAAATGCAGAAACAGCATTGCCCCAACTCTACTTTACCGGACAAGGAGGCAGCTTCATAGCAAAGCAGTCTTGGGTTTTACAGACAAAATTCCTTCATTTTGAGGAGCTGACTGGGACCTAGAAGTTCCCAGAGAAGAACTGTTTTTATGAAGCTGAGAGGATCAACATGACTGCTCCTGTGTACTACGACTTACAGATATGTTCCGTGGTGATGTCATGGAAAGTGGCAGAGGAGCGGAACAATCAGACAGAGACAGAGTTCCGGTAAAACAACAAAGTATATTGCCAGCAAGGTCGGCCCAGAAACACAAAGCTCTCGAGACCGACCCTGGACGATTGAGGCTGCACTCAGCTTATATGCATTTTAGGCTACATAGGCTTACATAGGGGTCACGTACCACACGAGTTTTTAGATTAAAGTTTACCTTTTCTTGGAACTTTTAACCTTAGTGAAGGTAGCGTCCCAAGCCGAGCCTTCAAGTTACGTGTTAAGATTCTTATCAGGTGCATTACACACTCGGGGACAAGCTATTGTGGTCATGTTTTTCAGGGAACTTACTTAGACTGTGAGTCGCAGGTGTAACTATACAATGGGGGTAGGGTAGAGCAGCAAGCAGTTTTCCTATGAGTACTACAAGCACAACATTCTTTCATTTTGTTTTTCTTGAAAAGTGACTCCATTTTCTTTTTGTCACATAAGTGAATAGTACTTGAAGTACTCTGTAACTTTGCTTTCTTTAACTGGATAACAGCTTCAAGAACAGTTACCTCTTCAAATGTTCTCAGATTGGTTCAAGTTCTATTTAACATTTTAAGAAAGATGGTCGTCTGGGTTTTGTGCCCACCCACGTTCTGTTAGTGAGATCATCAGACTTCAGTGAGGTACATCAAGTAGCAAACTTTATTAGAGTCAGGTCAACGTCCCCGTGATACACCACACACGATCTGCAAAGGGTTGAGGACTTCTTCAAAAGGCTGTTTCTGGGCAACACTTCCCACGTGATGACTGCAGAGCTGTAAATGTCATGCTTCACGCCCTCGTTTTCTGTCCAGGTTCATAGTTTTCAGGTGGCATAGAGATACTTGTCCCTCCCTCTGGGGAAGGTTTGCTGCCAGGAACTGAGAGGGCCCACGTGCGCCGTTTTGATAAACCAAAATCTGCCATCATAATGTGGGTTTCCTTATCCGACGAGATATTCTGAGTCTTCGAGTCATGATGGAGTAGAGGAAGAATCATACTGTGCAGGTAATTTACACCAAGTGTAGTTTCATGCAGGAGGCGAAATCTTGATGGCCAAGCAACACCAGGATATTCGGTTTTCTTGCGTACTGACACCAGTTACTTCCCTCCAGCGTTGATTTAGACGGGTCCCAAGTCGCCAATGGAGTGCGTTGTGTTCCTATGTAGTTCATTCAGTGATCCACTGGGCTCGTTTTCAGTAACTCTTCATAAAAATGCAGGCTCAGTGCAAATGCCCACAATTGGAAGAATATAACTGCACCTGGCTTTGTGTAAAAGGTCGGCTTCTCGGAAGACCTCACCTCTTTCACTGTCCCGCCCCGGGCGCGGATGTGCAGGTGCTTCACGGCCACCTGGAGGCGCAGCGGCTCGGTCCGCGACCTTGTGGATGCCATGGTGGGTGGCGCTGCAGACGCTGGGTCACCAGGCCGGCCGCCCCGCCGCCCTCCAGAGCCTGCTTCGCCTCCCCTCGCGCCTGAAGACGCTGGATGTGCAGACAGAGGCCCAACACCAGGGTAAGAGTGCGATGTGAGGCTGCTGCGCACGACACTTCGGCCGGCATTTTCTCACGACACTGACGACATACTCCCGTGTGAATCAGCTCAGGCTGCTGAAACAAATACCACGGAAGGAGTGGTTTAAAGTGGTTCTGCAGAAACTCTTCCTCTCGCTTCTGGGGGCCAGGCGCACGATCAAGGCCCTGACCTATTCTGTGAGTCTGGAGGACTCTTCTCAGCTTGCAGATGGCCCCCTGCTTGCTAAATCCTCACGTGACCCGCCCAGCCTGTGCTGCAGTACACATGCGCGCACACGCACACACACACACACACACACACACACACACACACACACACACACACAGGACAGATGTAGCTAACACTGGTTTCTGTTCTCAAAGGAACGTGAAACTATTGGATCAAATCCCTGTACTGTGTCTCCGTTTGACTTTAGCCGTTTATTCTGAGTCCCTATCTCCAACCACACCGGGGATTGTGGCTTCAATATTTGAACGTAGGCTTTTGAGCAAATACAAGTATTCATGCCACTAAATGTACCGCATGACCGATCAGTCCAGCACTTACATAATTATCCAAGTGAAACAGCAAGTTACACTCACAAAACCCTCCCAGCAACTGTTATAGCAGCACATACATGAGCCGTCAGACTAGAAAAATCTTCAATGTCCTAGAAACGATGAACGGATTAACAAATGGTAGCCTCTCAAAATCATGAGCTATTACTCTGCAGTAAAGGTGGCCACACGATGGATTCACAAATACCAGGGATTGCTGGAGGCTACAGTCTGGTAGGGTTTACCTCAAAGTGCACCAGGGAAACGCTCTGCAGGGATCGAACTGCTCGATACCTTGTCTGTGAGGCAGTAATACGGGATGCATTTCTCAAAACTCACAGAACTGAATGCTAAAATGTGTGATTTTTACAAATATACAGTCTACTTAAGCATTCAAAGTCCAATAAATATTTTGTATTATATTATGCATGTTGGGTTCTAATTTCATCACTTTATGATCAGAATATATGGCATATAAAGTATCTATTTCAGGGAATTTAAAAGACTTTCATTATAAACACTAAGATGTTGAATATTAGTTAATATACCCTGAGATTAACAAATGTGTTTATAGAGCTTCCAGCATGGCTAAATAGAGGAGAAGCCACATTTGAGCTACTTAGAGAAAATCAACTAAAAACACAAGTGATTGGAGTAAAGGGAGGGACACATACCTGAAGCCAAAATCCATCTTAAATAAGAGACTTCTGGATCAAACAAACCATAGGCACAGGACTTCATAAAACTTCACCCCAGCCTGCAGTGCTCCGCGGTGCACGGCATGCAAAGCAGGCATCACCATTCTGGAGGTTCCCCCCAAACCACCAAATGTGGCAAGCTCAACCTACGCAGGATAGATGTGAGCTGCGAGGCCGCTCGCTCCTTCTGGCTTCCAGCAGACAGAAGAGGCAGCAGTCTGGCTGACAGTTAGCTTTGCTTTCCTCTTCCCCTCCCCTGCCCTTCCCTTCTGTTCTTTCCCCGACTCTCCCTCGCTCCCTCTCTCTTTTCTGTACTACAGAGGCTAACTGGAACCTCTAGCAACGAGGTTAGGGACCACAGTGGAGAGTCAGGGGAAGACGACAGCCCTCCTCTGTGCCCAGAGGCCTGAGAGAGGACAGGGACAGTGGAGTCAGGACACTAGCCACCTTGGGCCCCCCGCAGGGCAGTGGGTGGAGAGCCAGGCCGCTACCACTCTGCCAGAGCGGCGTGAAAGGAGACAAACAAGCTGCATCCAGGGACTGGGAAAGCTGTAGGAGGGGCGAACTGTACACAGGATGGGGAGCAGCCTCCAGCTGCCTCTGTCTGAGGACAGCACCGCAACCAGGAGAGCAGCAGAGACAAACAGGGTAAGCAGAGGTGGGCAGGCGCCGGCAGACATCCCAAGGACTAGCAGGGGAGGCCTGGCCCCAGCCCCAGCCTCTCCTCTCCCCTCCCCGCCTCTCCTCCCTTCCCTCCCCTCTTTTCTTCTCTTCTTCCTTCTTTTTTTTCTTTCATTTTCATTTATCTTTCTGGGTTTTTTTTTTTAAGGTTTTTACTTTTATTGCTTGCTTCGTTCATCTTGTTTCTCTATTTCCTCAATTGTCTTTCTCCAAAGTCTCTGAGATTTAGGGTAAACTCACTTGTGAGCCCCTCTAAAACATCAAAAGAAACTTAAACACTGAGGACATACAAGGGCTCTTGATAAACATCCCCATTCCAAAGGGGAAGACAGAAAAGACTGGGACCAAAGGAGGACTGAGCCCACCAGGGCAAACATTAAATCCTGCAGTTCCGAGTCTGGCAGCAGGGCAGATGTGATGAGAGGTGAACTCCAAAGGCTTGGGTGTCCGCCAGCTCTGCGTGTGGCTGAGGCTCCTGGGCCTCTCTCTCCGGCTGCTTTGCTTCCCCAGATGATCCACGCTCCTGGCCTCTCCTGGCTTCCAGGGTCTCCACTGTACCTTCGACTTCCCTCACAGCTTCATGCCCTGCCCGGCCTCCTGGGCCTCCTGGGCCTCCTGAAATCTGGTGGAAGCCTTCCTGACCCCACAGCTCTTGTATTCTGTGTGTGCCTAAAACCAGAGCTGCATGGATGATGCCAGGACTGAGCCCTTTTCCACCTTGCAGAGGCTTCTGAGTGCCTAGAGAGCTGAGCATGGTGAGCTGAATCCTGCTAAAATGAATCCCAGGAATCGAGAAAAAGCTTTAAAAGACTATCATTAAAATTCTGAGACTTCTGAGGGCCAGGGATTTAGCTCAGCGGTTCGGTGGCCTGCCTTGCAAGCGCAAGGACCCGAGTTCAATCCCTGGTACCAAAACAACAACAACAACAGCAACAAAAATTCTGAGACTTCTGGCCCAGAGCAGATGGCATAGACTAGTTACTCCTTTCTTCTCACTGCGTACAGCTACAATGTCCCACGTGACTGCACACGTATGCACAAGTGACTCTGGGGACATGGCTGCTGGTTGCATGTATGCTGGTGAGACCTTCGCTTTCTGTGGGACTGCACCCTGAGAGTGGTCCAAAAAGCCCCACCTGTGACCACACGAGCCTTTGCGGGGACAGCTAGACATTAGCCACAACAGCAGGAATAAGCTGGACATAGGTCTGACAAGAGCCAAAAAGGAGTCTTCCAGGATAAATGGATTTCCCGGGAGAGCCAGCCCGCCGGTTGTGGGCAGCAATGGGCCATCCATGGGGTGGGGTGGGGAAGCACTCCAAGGAAGGTTTTCTGTGGCATTCATGACCAAATCCCTAGAGCCCCATTAAGGCAGGACTAGAGATTATGGCTGCCCTGCTAAGAGAGACCTCAAGGCCCAACCTAAGGGAAGCATGACATCTACAGAATCATTTTAGGGGGCCAATATTACCCTACATGAAAACCAAAGAGGAAAAAGCAAACAAACAAAACCTACAGACTTACATATTTTGCAGAGTTAGCTGCAAGGATCCTCACAATACATTGTACAAAAAGAATAGCCAAGGAGGGGGTGAAGGGAGAGCAGGGACAAGGGGAAAAAATGAGAACCAAGACCTGTCATGTAAAGGTACAAGATCCTAATGATGAATGTAACTGTACTATATACCTAAAATGTACCAATAAACTCAATTAAAAAAAAAGAATAGCCACCACCAAGTTGGATTTATTGCAATATGCGAGTTTGATTTAACATCTGAAAATCAGTCAGCATAACCCTTAACATTAACAATCTAAAGAAATACAATGAAATCAGCGGACACGGGAAAAGCATTTGACAAAATTCAACATCCATGTATGATTTTTAAAAATCTCCTAAGAATAGAGGGACAGCTATCTCAAGTTGATAAATGGCATCTACAAAAACCCTAAGTAACACAAATCCTAAAGGTAAAAGACCAAGTGTCCCTGGGACTGGCAATTACGTGGAGAAACTAAAGGTTTCCAAAACAGGGCTAGACAGGAAGGTTTATTTTGTAGATTCTTCCATATTCCTCTGTGAGTTGGCCTAGTGGATGGGCCAGTGTGCTTCCTGGCAGAGCGGGCAGGCAGACGGGCGCCATCACACACTGGTTGGTGTCCGGCTTTTCCTTACATGAGAGGAGGGAGAAGAGCCTGTCTTGCATCTGTCTTGTCTCCTTCATGACCTCCAGCCCCAAACAGTCCTCTTGCCAATGGTATACTTTGGGGTGGCGCATTCTGCAGCCCCTCAAGAGTCCCTGGAATGTTGGGATCACTAAATGGCAGAAAGGAAGGGAGAGAGATGCTGGCACATTATCACGTTGCCGTGAAAACAAAACCCAAGGAAGGAGGAGAAGACACTAAAACCTCCAGGAGGGAAGGATTGCATCGCTGGAAGTTGACAAAGATTCTCTCCTCAACCATTTGCAACTCAGATGCTTCTGAGCCTTTTTTCTCAAACTAGGCCCTGATTTTCAGATTTCTGTGTTCATCTCCGTACTGTGCAGTCTTAGTGAGAATCTCCTAAGTTGGTTTAGCTGGGTTCCTTTTGCTCCCATTGGGTCACCCCTGTCTAGCGTAGCTGCTCCTTCTACTCCCTCTCCCCTCCGCTCCCCCTCCACCTCCTCTTCCTCTGCTTTCCAGGTGACAGCTGATCACCCTGAGAGAGAACTTTAGCTCACTTCAGGCGGAATTCCTCTTTCCCCTCTTCTGCACCCTTAGTGATTTTCCATCCTCCAACTGCTGAACACAGAAACAAACTCTCTGATTTCTAAACTCCACCAGTTCTATGAAACTGCTGCCATTCTATATACATGAAAAAAATCTAATTCATTATATAATATGGTGGGGGGCTAAGAGTTAGGGCTCAATTCTTTTGGGAAGTCTTCATTGAGAAAGCCATAAAAAGCAAAGAGCAAAGCATCAGAAACAGTTGCAATATACATGGACAGCTGTTCATACCCACTAAACACAAACTCTCAAGATGAACAAGAGATTATATCAATATTCAAAGACACAAGTAATTCAGAGGCAATGTGAAAAAGAAAAGATACATAATTTGCCCATAAACATGAAGGTGTTTTGATTCCTACTAACAACTAACAAAAAAGTCATAAGCAAGAAGGAGACATTATTCCCAGGTAACATATCAAAAATGCCCAAAGTTAGCAAGGATGAATTGAAACCAGCACTCAGGTGTTTGGGGTAGGAGCAGACTGGTCCAGCCCCTCAGCACCTCAGGACTGGGCTGGGACCTCCTGCAGATACCCAAGTCCAGAGATGCACACCTAACCTGTGCATACTCTTTGGTAGACTTCCTTACTGTAAGAGAGGGTCTCGCCGAGTCACTAAGCTGCCCAGGTTGGGCTCCAACTTGCTTCCTCCTGCCTCAGCCACCTAGCGTGCTGAGATTTGTGCACTGCCACTCAGCTTCTTTGGGTCTTTTTCTAAAGACATTGGACAGCCACTCCTTGGTGAGCACATCTGCAAAGGTCTTTTGGAAATAGGACAGGCTGGAGTTGAGGCAAACAATGAGGAGGAAAAGTCACAGAAAGTAAGGCCTGGAAAATCAGTGTCTGGTGGAAGGAAAGGGGGACACCGGGAGCGGTTCTGGAAGGGAGTGAGGGAAGTGAGGGTGGGCAGGGCTGGGCAGTGGGCTTTGTGTCATGGCTGCCTTCCCTCCGCCAGGGTCCATGAAGACCAGGCTGGCCAGCAGGGCTCAGAGAAGGAAGCCCCTCGAGTCTCACCTCTCCATGCCACATGTCCAGTGATGTCACCTCCCATCACCTCCATGGAACCTGTTTACCTGTCTGTCTGTTTCTCTCTCTCTTTCTCTCTCTCTCTCTCATTCATCTTCCCAGGTTCTCATAATTTACTACTTTGATGAGCATTCACTGAGATCTCCCATTTTAAAATTTTGAATATCTGAGCTGCCCCTTACCCTATTTCTAACTTTGCCTTTAGAAGGAAAGGAGGCCTCGAGAGTCTCTGACCACCAGGGCTGCAGGTGGGGGTGACCTCTCCTTGGTACGTGTTTGACCTCAGTTCCAGGACTTGGGTGGCTCAAGGCTGAGGGGGAGCAGGGGTGGGGGTGGCGGGCAAGGCAGCTGAGCAGCAGGGGCCGGGTGCAGGGCGGGGTACCACTCCTCGGACTGGGAGGGCAGAGGGAACGGGCTGCCCGTGGGCTGGACTGGGAGGACATGGTTGTAGGGGTGAGGGAGGCAGGTCACCGGTGCAGCTGGTGCTGTGTAGGAGTAGGCACAAGCAGGGGACTCAGGCAGGAACCCAGAGAAGGTGGTGGGAGGCAGGTGGGCCAGAGGCTGGAGCAGTGACCGCTCTTGCTTCCGCTGCTTAGCCCTGCGGTTCTGGAACCAGACCTGAGGAGGGGACGACAGCCACATCAGGGTTCCTGTGCCCTCCAGGTGCTGCTGTCACCTGCACCCCTTCCTCCGACACTAGAGGTGCAGTACCACACCTCAAGGAAGGACAGCTGAGCCAGGCGACCTTGTGCCCTCCCCCTGCACCTAAACCTGCCCAGTTTCTAGAGTTTGGGTGAGTAAGGAAGGTCACATCCCGACAAGAAAGGATGAACATGACACCGGGGTGCGGGTCAGAGACGGGGCTGCAGACAAGTGTGGCGGTGACAGACGAGCTTGGATTCAGGGCAGATTCGCACTGCAGGTTAGGAGCCCAGTTAGGACCGAAGGCTGAGTTGAAGTGCTCTGGTTAGGGACAAGGGCGCAGGTTGTGTGTGTGAGCAGTGAGGACTGCGTTCCTGTAGGACTTCGTGTCCCCGCGAAGGTGGGGAAGGCGTGGAAACTTGAGGAAGGCTCAGAGTGGGCTGGGCCTGGTGACATTCATGAGCCCGGGGGTCTCCCGGCTGCTGGGTGAGGCCTGGGCCTGGGAGCAGGCTCAGGAGCACGAAGCGCAGGGACCGAAGCCCACCAGGGCGCGCTGCCTTTCCTCCCCAGGGCGGATGGGGCTTCACCTGGATCCTGGCCTCGCTGAGACCCGTGTCCCGGGCGAGGCCCTCTCGAGCCCAGATGTCCGGGTACCGGTTCCTGCCGAAGGCCGACTCCAGCTGCTCCAACTGCGTGGGGTTGAAGGTGGTGCGATGGCGGCGGCGGGAGTGCTGGGGACCCCGGTGTCGTCCTTGTCCGGAGAGCCCAGGCTTCCCGAGGGGCTGAGCGCCGGCGTCTGGGGAGGAGGGCGCGGGGGCTCCGGTTACCGTGAGCCCACCCCGCCCAGCCTGTGTCCACCTCCCAGCCCCGAGGCCCCGGTCACCGCAGGCCCGCTGCCCACCCCGGTCCCGTGCTCCTGTGCCACACCACGCCCTGGCCTCTGGCTCCTGCGTGCCCCTCAGAGCACCTCGGGGTCTTCTATCGCCCGCGGCCTCCGCAGGTTTTGCGCGTCTCCACCGAAACCCCGGTGCTTCTCCGTCCCCAGGCGCCGTCTCTACACAGCTGCATCCTCGGCCTCGCCGGGGAGGGAGACTCGTCCCGTCTCCCGCTCTCCTCACCCTCTCCTCACCTGTGCACCTCTGCCCTGTCCTCTACCCCTGCCCTGCCCGGGCTGCCCGGCTGCAGGAACCTGAGCTCGTGGGAAAGGCTCCCCTCCCGCCCGCAGGCCCACTAAGCCCGCACACTAATTAGTGTGAGAGCAGCCGCGGGGCGGGCGAGGACAAGGTGGGAAGAGGGGACGCCTGGAACGGGGCGCCGTGCAAAAGGGGTGGGCCAGGCACCTGTCCCCATGGGACCGGGGTGAGGCTGCCACCCCTGGCCCGTGTCCACCCCAGGCCCACGGCCCTGACCCGAACTCCCCTGCAGCAGCAGTGCCGGGGTGGACCCCGAGTTAGGCGTGGAGGGGAGACTCTGGGGCATGCGCGCTCCCCGTCTGCAGAGCAGAGGGTCACGGTGTTTCCTGTGCCCTCCAGGCCGCCCTGGCTTTAGCTAAGACGTGGTTCAGTCCCTCCCTTCGCCCCGCTCGTGCTGAGCCACCCCACTGGACTCGAGGCTTTGCCACCGGGTGCACTCACCTGTGGAGGCCAGAGGTCCGGCCGCAGGGCACCGCTCAGGCCAGAGGCTCCCGCCAGCTCGCCCCCTCTTGTGCTTACCCTGCGGACTCCTTCCCTCAGCCTCCGCGGCTGGCACCGAAGCCAAGGTGGTGCAGCCTCCGGTGGGCCCGGCCCTCGACCCAGGCCAGGCTTCCCGTGTGTCCATTGGTCCTTCCTGTGGTCTCTCCTCTCCCTCTGTTTATTCCCCTTTCTGAGTCTGTCTGACCACGTGTGTGTGTACAGGTATAGAGAGTTCTCTGTGTTTTTCACTGTCTCTGCCTTTTTTCTAGTGTTTTCCTAATTCCCCATTCCTTTGCCTGAGCATCTTCTCATTACCTGTCTCAGCTTCACCTGTTTCTCTCTACTTTTCGCTCTCTGCCCTTTTCCTCTCAGGCGCTGCTCTCTCTTCTGGGCCAGCTGCCTACTTTCCCACCCCGCCCCTCTCCCAGCCTCGCAGTCACCCTGGGCCATCCAATCCCTACCTGGTCACCAGAGCCCCTTGCTCAGGAGAGGATCACAAGCCGGATGAGGGAAGGTGTTCTGTCGGAGGGTCCAGGGACGTGGGCCAAGAGCTCGTGTTCCAGGGGACCAGAGCCTTTTGTCCTGTTAAATCCTCTCCTGGGAACAGGCAGGGGAAGGAGGGGAAGATGCATTCCTCCTAAGACTGCTGTCCTCAGGACCCCACTGTGGGAAGGGGGAAGAAAACGGGCACAAGTTGGGGGCCAGAAGCATGGCCTAGCTGGCATCTCAGCACGCAGGTGACTTCCTAGGACTCGTTTCCAGGAAACTGGGAAACAGAAGCCCAGGTGCTGCTGCTCCTCCCAGGATACACCGCCATCTCAGGCTGACTTCACCGGCCTCCCCGTCAGGACAAGCAGAACTCAATCTACAGGAAGCATCCACAGGATATGTGACTTCTCAAGTCCTCTCTGATTTCCTTCCTCCAACACCGTCTCCTCATTCATCCAGAACCCTGGGACATCATAGCCTTTCAGGGTCACCCAGACCTTTCAGAAACCCTGATTCTAAGAGCATCTTGACTGCAGGTTTGTCCTGATGCACTCAAACCTCTGACTCACTCTACCATTAACCGAGATCCCCTGGTGTCCGCAGGGCTCTGTCTCTTGAGGTTGCATAGAACCTGGAAGTCCATGCTGGCACCCCCCAGGACAGCCTGACACCCTAACACCTCGGGGTCCTCCAGGACACACTGAAACTGAAGGGCACTGTTTTCTAGAACATTCCATCTACTAGGGGACTCCTGCCCCCATCCACAAGGCTGCAGCCCCTCAGGACATGATGAGCCCGTGACACACCACACCCAGAGGATGGTATGATCCCTGCGGTTGCATCCTTCAGTACCACACTGGCACTTCAAAACAGGACATGTCATTATCCTCTAGGATCCCGATGCTTACCGTGGGGTCCACAGACCAGCAGCAGCATCACGCAGGAGCTTGTTAGAGGTACAGATCTCAGGGTCTACCTTCATCCTACCAAATCTGCATGGTGCTGAGATTCCCAGGAGAACTGAGAACACATCTGTCTTAGTCAGGTTGGGGTGCCACAGGAAAGGTGGCTGAAACAACTGATGTCTCACGGTTCTGGACCTATTCTAAAGTGTTCGAGACCACCGGGCCTCTTTCTGGCTTGTAGCTGTCACCTGCTCACTGTATTGCCATGTGGTGGAGAGGGAACCATCTTTGGTCTCTTTTCCTTTTTAGGACACTGGTCCCACCATGGGACTTCACGCTCAAAACCTCCTCTACACTTAACCAAATACCATCCCAGAGGGGGTAGCTTCAACCTATGACTAAGGGGAGAGGGAAACACAAATATTTAGTCCATAAGGACAGTAAAGAGGAGAAGTGCAGACCCAAGACACTGCCTCATTGCTCCCTGCCCAATCAGTACCATGACTTCTAAGGCATCCTGAGCTCCATGAATGCCCTGACCTCACAAGGCTTAGTAGCAGGCAGTCAGCTTGGACCCACATGCAAACACTGAATGCATTATTGGCTGCCTAATGCTACAGAAAAATTCTGACCCTCCATCAGGACAACCTGATTGCTTCAGAACATTTCAACATTACAAAGAAATTGATCTCTCCCTAGTGTTCCCCAAGGATAAGAAGACACGGCAAGTTGGATGTGACATTTCAGAATGCTGTATTCCTCGAGAGACTAAGACTTGGGAAAGCCTATGGATTCCTATCCCCAACCCTGGCCTTCAAAGAAATTTGACACTCAGATCCTCTTAAGACAGAAGGATGGAGTAGGAGCCTTCGGGACTCGAGTCAAACTGCCATGAGTTCAAATCCCAGCAATACCACTTAGTACGTCTACGACTGTGGGCTTCCTGTTTACCATCTCTGTATCTTAGATTCATCATTTGTGGTCACTAATACAGTCAGTTTTCTTTATTTGGGGCAGGTATGTTTCATAGTCATCAGAAAAGCTGAATTTATGATTCGTGAGCTGCTGCTCCCATGCGATAGCCTCTGAGTAGATTTTTACCAATCAATGTTCAACCTTGTATTAGGTATGTTTCTGTATTAGGTTTCATTTTGTTTCAATCAGCAATATTTAAACTATAATGTTTAAGTTACATGCAGTATTTAATATGCAACAACAATATTTAAAGTATACTGTTGATTCACTGATATTAAACTCAGGGCCAACAGCACCGTAACTTGGGCCTGAACAATGCACAACTGACAAGTGTGTTCTTGTGAGAACACTGCCGCCGTCCAGCTTTGGGGACATAGATGGCTTTTCACACTATACTTGGGCCACTTTAGGCAGCAGCATCATTGACAAAGAGCAGAAATGAGAGAAACACCACTCTGCGCCACCGGAAGGGAGCGTAAGAGCTGAAGTAGGCAGGCAGCGCCTCGCTGTGACTCTGCTAGCGCTGGTGGGGGGGTGAGCAAGTCTTCATTTACTACGGGGTGACCCTGACCCTTTGCATTTCTGCGTCAAGCTCACGACCAGTGTGCTAACTTTTATACAAAAGCAGGCTGGATGTTGACTGTGACTGCATTAAATCAATGGGCTTAAGAGATATGATTCAAAAGAAATGTTCCCTTATTGTCAAATGAGATAAGGAAGAGTCGAGTCGTGCAGGAGAAAGAGCTGCCTTTGAGAAGCCTGCGAGTGGAAAGGGTTCCCCAAATGCATCGCGCTGCGGAGGACTGAAGGAGAACAATTGCCTGTCGCCTTCCTCACTCTGCAGTCGTGCAGCCACACTGCCCCTCAGACCTGTCCCTTCTGCCCTGAAATGTCACCCCGCAGACATCTTGCCCATTTGGGGCTTGGGGCTTCTGAGTACCTGGCTTTTTCTGTCTTCTCATACATTGTTTTCTTTTTCCCTGAAGTCTAATAATGAACAGGCTTACATCTGGGTTCAATATTCTAGGGTAATTTCCCCTGAATTTTGACCCACTGACTCCTCACAGTATACAGAGATGAATCATTGTATAGATATAAAAGCCCTCTTTGGAAATTAGAGTTGATGGAAAGGAAAGAATGGCAACTGTTTAAAGTTACCCTGCAAGTGCTCTCCAGAGAAACAACCAAACGGTGATGTGTGTATTTCACTGTGCTGAATATCTCAGTTATGGAACAGAGAAGCCCCAAGATCTGCAGTCAGTGAGCGGGAGACCCATTTCCAGGCTGGAAGCTGGCAGTCTTGAGACTTAAAAAGAAAAGAGCCCTGTTTTGAAGCTAAAGGCAGGAAAAGACCGAGTCCCAGTTCGAGCAGCCAGGCAGGAGGAGTTGCCTCTTACTGTGAGAAGCCCCAACCCTGTCTTTTCCATCAAGGACACAAACAGGATGACTCCATCTTGAACTCTAGTCCACCCCACTCGGCCTTGCCTGGACACATGAAATCATGGAAATGCCTCAATTGTGGGAACACAGCTGCACACCAAGGTTAGCTGATCAATAGCCACAGACTTCCTGTTCCCCACTCTCTCCCCTCCCACTGCTCCTCCCCTCAGCAATCCTCAGACCCCCCCACACACACACTCCGTGCTTAAACAGCCAATAGACCCAGCCAGTGGGGAAACTGTCAGCTACTTCTCCTACATTAGGAATAAGAAGGCCAACCACCTTTGTCCCCTGCACCTGCTACCTCATGCTTGCACCTTCTACAGAAGTGAAATACCTTGTCCAGACTTCTTGGTGTCTGAGTGCTTTATTGTCTGCACTGACAAACTGAGTCTGAGTCTGGGGCGTAATCCCAACATTACTCAAGGGAGGGCCAGGCCTTCAACTGATGGGACGAGGCCCACCCATACTAGGGAAAGGTAGTCTTTCCTCTCGGCCTGCCAAATTGGGGGCTAATCTCGATGGGTGCCTGTGCCAAAGCCTCACGTGTTACCCCATCACTATGTCCAAACTTTATGTATCAATTTCAAATTTTAAATATTAACTTCATCCAAAAACACCTTCAGAGACACACCCAGAATAAAGTCTGACCACGTATCTGTGGTTCAGTCAAGTTGACTTATAAAATAACGCTCACAGATAGTACATTCCCTCTTCCCAATCAGACTCACAGGCCAAAACAGAGGCAGTGAAGAGACTAATGCAGAAGAAAATATTTTAAGATTTGTCTTAGGCCACGTTTGCAGTCCATAACGATTACATACACTGTGGGAAAGAGGTACGTGGTCACGCTTCAAAGAAGGAAATATTTAAAAAACAGTTCAAAGGCATTTGAATTGTTCCTTTTATCCAACAAAATGTTATCTTCTTAGTTTGGGTACATTTTCTATTGGATTTCTTACATTTTCCATCCCAAGAACAACTGTCTTTATGTTGATAACACTGTCTGCACCTTGGTCTATTCTGTTTGTTTTGTTTTATCTTTTGCCATTGAATTCATAGTACCTATCTTGAGTCTTTCCCGTAAGTTACTACTTCTGTTTTTAGCTGTGCAGTTCCTTAATCTTTTGAATTTATTAATAGTTCTATAATTGTGTTATAGTACAATTAAGTTCCTAAATTACAATGAATTCAGGAGAACTGTCTGTGAGTTGGATTTGTTCGTAGGTCAGTTTTGTTCATAAGCCTACAAGATGAATCTTGTACGGCAAACCTGTGGAGGTTTGTACCTCCAATGTCCGTAAGTCGAGGCCTTACTGTATTTTGCTTCTGCCAT